TAAGGGAACAAGTCCCCCTTTAATTACATTTCCAATTTGCATTGGAAAGAGAAAGGAGGGGAACTGGCCATGCTGCCTTGGTACTATCTCTTTGCCTTGGTTAGCGCCCCCCTTCACACTTCTGATCTTAGTGTCGTCAAGACCCCATACTTCTTAAGTTTCTCTTTGTTACCGTCAGCTGTTTGTTTTGTCTCAAACAGACTTCATTACAAAAATCTGATTCAGAACAGTTTAAGCCCCAAAGAAAATTTATTATAAAAATATTGGGATACTCAGGATTTGAAAGAAAGGTTGACTCAGTTGGGAAGAGCAAGGGCAGTTCTGGGACCTCACGGGATCATGGAGTTTATCCCTGGAGCATGGCTACAAACACCACCAGCTGATCTGCTCTCAATCTCCGTGTCTCTGGGCTCCAGGGCTCAGATTCCTGGAGTGCTGATCTGGTTGGCCTAGCTTTTGGGTCAGCTGTCTCCCTGAAAATCCACTTTCTATGGCTGGGGGCCCAGTATATCACTGGGCGTAGGGGTAGAGGAGTGTTGGGGGCAGTCTTCCCACATAAAATGAGATTACTGAGACACCCCAAAATGTGTCTGCTATCTTTCCCTTTTCTATGTATTTGACCAGCATGATGCAACCAGTCCCTTCATGACCACACTTGTACCCCCCAACTCTCCCTCTCCCCAGTGGAGCAATCCAAAGTCATGCTCAGCTGTTGTAGCCACAATGTCATGAGCTCTCTACTCTTGGAGTCCAGCCTCTCTACTAGTTTGTATTTTGCTGTTTTGTTCTTTGGTACATAAATGTTCATGACTATTATATACAGGGTTGCGTTATGACTTTTGTGGGCCCTAGGCACTTTTGCCTTTTCTGGACCTTTTTCTTAAAAAAATATTAAAATTATATTTTATGACTGTGTTGGTATACAGGTAAATATCTTAATATTACATATTAAGATATTTTCTTCAACTAAAAGTTATTTTGTATTTTAAGAGAAATGTAAACATTTCCATAGACGCCCCCACAAGTATTATGAGTCCTACACACTGTGTCTATTGTGGGCCCTGATTGTGTCTTCGTTGAAGATTTTATACTTCATTAATAAAAAATTCCTTTTCCTGTTTACTGAATTTGTCTTGATTAATACACTTTGTCCGCGTTAAAAAAAACCCTTGCGGGCTGGCTGAGTGGTGCGTTGGTTAAGAGCTGGCTTGGAACGCCAGCTCTGAGCAGCAGGCCTGCAGTTGGGATCCCACATGAGGGCCAGTGATACTGCGCCCTCTACAGCTAAGATGGTGAAGAACAACAGCTTGACCTGGAGGCCCATTCTTAATCAAAGTCCATGGATATAGGGGGCTGGCAGAGTGGCTCAGTTGGTTAAGAGCTTGCTCAAGATTGCGAGCTCTGAGCAACAGCAGTTTGATTCCCAGCCCGAGCTGAGTTGCCGCTGAGCTGCCAACAGGTGGCAGGATGGCTTAGCTAAAAAAAAAAGAAAAGAAAAAAAGTCCATGGATGTGAAATTCTTTGGGCACAAAGTAGACTGCTTCTCTCTTTTTATCAAGATGATTGACAGTAGATATATTGAATTACAACTTCTCTTTCTCATTTGGGGCACTGAGAGATGGGCTACCTCTATTCTCAACTAGAAATATCACAGACTAGAAAGCATGTGTAATTTCTCATGGCAGTGAGCAAAAAACAAAAATTTCATAGAACAGAATACTTTCATCTGCATCCTTGGTTTGTAACTTCAGCTTTTCAAAAACTGCTTGAATGCTAATAGGACTCATAAAACATTTGTAATATTCACATAACAATAATGAAAAATAATTACATGAATTTAGCTGTCTTCCGCAATAATCAATGTTTCCAAAAAACCAGGATTTAAAGTGTTTTCTGTATCAATATATGACTTTCTTTGATAAAAATGGATACTCACGATATCTTGAAAACTGTCAACAAAATGGAGGGTTTGCCCCTGTGCAGGAAAGCGTTAACATAGCAGGCCTGACTGCTATCCTTCGAAAGGCTTGCTTACAAGATGGCCCCTGGCTGGCCTCTAGGAACTTGGATTTCGGGAGGATTCCCACCATTCCCAGAACTGATAAGAATGCGCCTAACCTGTTTGTACAAACAATATGGCTTGTGCCGACACCTGCTTTCCTTCTGGCAGTCCAGAATTTTGTATGTGCTAGGCAGAGGGTGCCTACGTGACCAGCTGCCAATAAAAACCCTGAGTGCTGAGTCTCCTCTGAGCTTTCCCAGAAGGCAGTATTTCATGTGCGTTGTCACAACTTGTTGATGGAGGAGTTAAGTGTGTCCTGTAGCGCCAATGGGAGAGACTCTTGGGCTGTGCCTGGTTTTTCTCGGCTTCGTCCCATGTGCTTTTTCTCTTCGCTGATTCTGTCTCATATCCTTTTGCTCTAATAAATCACAGCCATGAGCACAACTATATGATGGGACCTGTGAGTCTTAGTCAATCATCTAGTCTGGGGTGGTCTTGGAGACACCTGACACAGCTTCTTATTTGGGACTGGTATCTCCTAATGTTTAAAATCACCAAAAACCTACTTCTAGTTGTAATTTTTAAACATATTTCATTAAAATGATTTCCCATTCACATGTAAGAAGGTCAGTTAAGAAAGGAAAGCCCTTTAAGCGTGGTTAAGGCCTTTTTTTTTTTTT